CAGGTCGTTGAAGTTTCCCACAATTATACAAGTAGCCCATAAGTTTCCATTGAATTTTGCATAGCCTTTCTTTCGAAAAAAATATTCTAATTCAGGTTGGAGGGGACTGCAGCTTCGACCTTGCCTAGGTCTTATAACCACACCCAGCGGGACTCGAAGCATGACAGTGTAGCGTATAATCTCGACATATAAAAAAACACTATGCCGTAATGCCACAAGTACCCTTGGGCCACAGGGCAGATATAAATGCCAAGGAAGGCTAGGCATTTTTCCATATCACATTCTGTGGTGAGATTGTCGATGAAGCAAAGTTATATTTGCCACAGCAATCGACGATACTACTTATTTTTCGTTTGTGAGTAGGTTTTCGAGGCTGCCACCAAGTCAGATATGTGAGATGTGCTCACCCAATTTCGGTTAAGGTGTGAAGGACTGGTAACTGAATGAAGCCTAATCACCTTCACCACTGATTTCAGATTTCCATCCCAAGGTTTTTGGCACCCAATATACATTTACCCTTAGCTGTCTACACCCGCCTTGGCAACCGTTCCCGGCTGCATTAATAGGCATTGGCTTCCCCTCGATGCCAGCAATCGCATTTGTCATATTCAGGGGTTTACTCACATGACTGATCTCAAGAATAGCATGGGATATGTGCGAGCCTTGGCGAGGACTGCTTTTAAACCGTTACTCTCGCATCTGAAGACATTTTCACTTACCCTAGGCTTCTAAAACCCTACCTCTTGGTTATCTTTTTACCCACCTGCATCCAATTCACTCACATATTTGTCTCGCTTCATTTGGAACAGCTAACGTGAATATATGCCGCAACAATTGCCCACTTCTAAATTAAGTAAATTCCTCTTACTCTCTCTCTCTCTTTATTTTTATTATTAATTTCGGCGTGTTTATATTGATAAATGAATATCCTTGTCGGACATGTAACGAAGGTCCTCTTATCACAACCATGCACTCACATACACACACACACACACACCTAACCCATGTACTAGGGGTCAACTGATATTGCGCCCCCAACCTCGGCTGAAATACCCTTGTGGATTTGGACTAGATCTAGATTCTGAGCTTAGTATCAAACGTGAATGATCATTCATTTCTCTATCTCCAGGTGGATCCACTCTGGCAACTTTTTAAAGCCGATCCTAGGCTTGCCTACTCACCGCAATCGACTTCTCTTGGCTTTCATCTGTCGCTCAAATTGCTTTTCATGGTGATGTCGCTTGCTAATTTTTCAGTCATTTCCATGATCCAGGCCTCTACTTTTTATGGTTCTTGCTGATTAAATGGAAAGAAACCAAGATCATGCGGTTATTTGCAACCTTCTTATTAAAATGCGTAAATTCAATAAAACAGCCCAAATGACAAGTTACTCATAAAGTGATATAAAACCAACTTAATTCAAATCTAGACTTGATCTAATTTTAGAAAATTGTAAGGGGATATCATAAACGTAATGATTGCACACGTCAGGCGAGCGCTCAGTAAAGGTTACTCGGGGTCAGACGAGGGTACAGCTCGAATTTCTACCTTATAACTATGCATTTTGAAGAGGCATACGGTAACTTTTTGGTCCAAGTCATACATCAATCCAGATAAAGTTTAGGCAGTTTCCTACTTTCACTGAACCAGCGTGAAAGAAACATCAAGTCCACGATGCAAATGGAAAGGAATAGATCCTTACATTTTTGGATGTTCTGATCATTGGAGAAGAGGTCAAGTTAAGAAGAGATGTTTATAGGAAACCAATATGTCAGCCCTTTATTGAATTTTCTTCCCAACCATAGTTACAAAACTAGGGTTGGAATTTCAAAGCCAATGATTATTAGGAGTATGAAGTTAGCGGATAGCAATCATTCGACTAAAGAGTTAAAATGGCTGAAACATCTATTTCTGTAAATTAATTATCCTTTGGGCCTAATTGAAAATAATATCTCCTGCATTTCAATTCTTCGCTCCATTTGATTTGAGAAAGTTCCCAACAATCTAAACCAAGTTATTTTTCGTATCTACAGAGAAAGAGTCAAAGATGGACAAGTGGAGACCTTTCCACATTTATAAATTTAGCCGTTATGCCTTCTTTCTAAAAGATAGGTGAATAATGAAAAATTGGGGGATAAAAATGGCCTTCTAAGAAACCCTCACATTTCCTTCGGCTATGCCATCCTTTAGAAAGAAATATGATCCATTATTGAGATTTGGCTGCTTCAAGGTTGCGTGCTTATGTGGTTGATTTTATGCTGGTGGGACATGCCGACCTATTCGACAAAGATTGGGGGGAGACAAAAATGCATGTAAATGAAGCTGTGTCCAACTGCCCGAAGTGGCCAAACACGCAAACCAGAGACTGGAGATGAGATAGAATGGTCTCAAACTAGTAGGTTTGCTGATTATGGTTCGTCTGTTGTCAAAAGAAAGATGAAAGAGGCTATTGAAATAATTAGAATAGGATATACTTTGAAGGTGAGTAATGGTGTTAGAAAGTTGGGTAATTATTACTTATAGAAGTTATTTAAACTTGCTTTCGCAACTTGGTCATATTGGAAGGAAGACCTAGATGAAGGCACCTTGTCCGGGCTTCATAGTACGCATGATAATTTCCAGAGTCGGACCTTGGACGTGGTACATTCCCAGACGTTTCACCGGCATCGTAGTCGGCATCGTCACTGAACCTTGCCATTATTACCATCCCCCTGCAACTTGTCAAAGAAACAAATGAAGTCGATCCTTTGGCCAAATGTGTGCTGAACAATTGTGGTATCTGTCCTTCTGTCCTGGGCTATTCACCTTTCCTATATCCTCGCATCACCCCTTCAATATCACAATTTATTGCTTGTTTATATAGACATATTTGAAATCTATTCACACTTCTCGCTGGTTTCCTCATCCCCCCAACTGTGTGGGGAGGGTGGATCCAAGGCTGTGGTCTAATCCGCAATCTTCTCTCTTCATAAATGTCAATATAAACAAGCAATGAATTGTGATATTGAAGGGGTGATACGAGGATATAGGAGAGGTGAATAGCCCAGGACAGAACGAGAGATACCACAACTGTTTAGCACACATTTGGTCAGAGGATCAACTTCACTTGAGTTGTAGTGTGGTGCTGAGAATAGCAAGGCTCACTGACGCTGCCGGCGAAACGTCTGGGAATGTACCAAGTCCACTATCCGACTCTGAAAGTGATCATGCATACTATGGACTCCGAACAGGGTGTGTTCCTCTAGGTCTTCCTACCAATATGAACAAGTTGTGAAAACAAGGTCAAACAACTTCTATTTGTTGAGCTTACTTCCATTTCGAGTGAAAGTGTTGGGTGAAGTGATTTGAAGGTCGGCTCCAAAAGAAGACGACGGTGGATTCCTTTTGACCAGCTATCGATTGGCTTTACTGAAATAGTCATGGTGACGCTGTTTCCGAGGTAATCTCTTTCGTTTCTGGTGAAAAGGGGCTAAGCTTTCGTCCGTGATATGAAAAATAAAATAAGTTAGTTATATGACGAACGTAAGGTTAGAACCTTTTCACCGGAATCGAAGGAGATTATCTCGGAAACAGTGTCACCATGAATGTTCCAGTAAAGCCAATCGACAGCTTGTCGAGAAGAATGTGCCGTCGTCTTCTGGTTCAATCGATCTTCGAATCTCTTCACCCAATACTTTCATTCGAAATGGAAATAAGTTCAACAATTATGAAAGAAGAGATTCCTCGAAACCCAACTTTTCTTCGCATAAACAACTTCTATACAACGGAAGGAGACCACGACCATATAAAAGGCCACACCATCCTCTTCTTCATATTTTAGAAGAATTACTTATCGGATTGATGGATTGAAGGAGAGAGAGAGGGTGTTAAACCTCTATCCAAAAGGAGGTGAATCAAATTGCCCGCTCAATGATGGTTTTAACCTCCCTTACACTCGTCCAACATATCGGATTAAGCTCATCAACCGAATCATAAGTACGAGATTGTTCATCCCCATCTATGCCTTTTCTAAGGTGGATAAACTGAAAGGTTTGGACAGGTGGTTTCATAACCTGACTTACACACTTACAGGCTTACATCTCATTATCTCAACCTTACTTGCTTGTGAACTTACGCAATCTCGGTCAGGGCTTTTTCTTGGCTCATTAAGCCGTGATGCCCAGAGTCTGACATCAACCTCTTTTGATCATTCTGATTTAAGACCAGTATTGCGTATAGATTTTAGCACACACAAATACTCGAGCAGAAGTAGCATTACCAACATGAAAGACAATTAGCTAAACCATCATATATCTCTCCATACCTATTCATTTTCGTTTTTTAGTTATGAATATGTATTTATAAGTTGTACGATAGAAACGAATAGTCTTTTTGACCTGGTGCTAACGCGAGAATGTTAAAAGACTTCCAGCTCTGATGAGGTCCATCATATGATGGAGCAAAGATGAGCCCTTTTCTCCCGAAACGTGGGAGAATGTTTCGTGGGCCGCGTCAAACTCAACATCGCATTAGAGCCAAACGTCTGCAGCACAACGGGAATCAGCCGTTCTCTTCTGGTGAGATCGGACTTCGACTCTCTTCTTCATGTGCTTTCCTACCAAATGAAAGTCTCCCCAACAATGTTATCTCAGGAGATCAATCGTACCCCAGTTATTTTTCGCATCTACAGAGAAATAGTAAATTAGGATGCATTTAAAGTGCCATCGTGATTAGAAGCATTATGAACATAAGACTAGTTGAATCCCTCAACATCCTATCCTGGCCACTAAAAAGGTGTCAGAGTAATTGCGATTCTCTGCCTGATTTAAACCCTCAATGGCACACTCTGTAGTCCGAGGTGTAGTCATGCCTCAAGTCTTTTCGATCTGGTAGCTCAATCGACACTCAATCGACAGGATTCCATGAACATTGTATGATTGTCCACAATTACACTCAAGATTGACTTACTGTTGGCGATAATTCCAGCCAGAGTGCTATTGGGTGTCCTGTCTTTTTCTCCTATGCTGGCTAGCCACATATTTGGGTTTATGCCCACTTTTGGTGTCGTGCTGGTCATGGCAGCCATCGCATCCGTCCGACGAGCGCTGCAACCAGGCGACAATGTCGATATTGACGGAAGCCAAAGTGAAGGTATCTCTTGAAGGCAAGGCTGCAGGTCACGTTGCCTTTGGGATCAAAACAGCCTCAAGATTCACGTGATAAAGGAAGCCGTATACGTCGCGAATGGACGGAGGGACGAGGAAGTTGAAACGATTGGGAGATTAGCCCAAAGCACGAAAAGCTTGATTGATTAAATACGGAAGCCTGAAGGCCGGCCTTCTCACTTTCTGATTGGATAAGCCCCAAACCAATCAGAGGGAGCCTAGAGGGAGCAAAATTAGAGAGTTGGACACAGTGAGTTTATCTTCTATTTAAGCAGGTTACGAGATTATCAGCAATTCTTGAATAAGAGCCTTGATTTCAAATGAATAGGCTTCGAAACTACCAGCTGATCATGAGTAGGAGCTGTGTTCACCCTGGGTCATATAAAGTGATGAAAGACTGATTTTTGAATTAACATACAGTCATTTAAGTAGGCCTTTTGTTTCAATTGAATTCCACTTAGCCTCACCTTCTGAAAGGCTCCTCCCTTGTTTCGTGTGAAAAAGGGGCTGAGCTTTCGTCCATCATATGATGGACATCATCAGAACTGGGTGTCATTTTTGTAAAAGTTTCACGTTAACACTAGGGCAAGAAGACTATCCGGCACTATCTTACCTCTTATATAGATTCAATAAGGCAAAAAAATTA